TTTTCTGACCAGCCCTGAGAACAGAACCAAGAGGCTGAAGAAGGAAGCAGAGAAGTGCCAAGAATTGCAGAAGAGGGGGGACAGGGTGAGCGGCCCCTGGGTGAGGGGTTCCAGCTGCAGCAGGAGAGACACCAGAGGGACGGGGCCATGTGGCTGCCATCGGCTCTGCTGCTGCTCTCTGTCCCAGGTGAGCGGGGCTGGGCAGGTCTGGGTGACAATGGTGTGGAGCAAGGCTGGTGATGGGGAAGGGAAGAGATGAGGACACAAACAAAGAGAGGAGGGGGTGAGCTTGGAAAAACCTCACCCCGCCGAAGAAGAGGAGGAGTTGATGGTAAGATGCTTCCCACAGGTGAGCACGTACCGAGCCCTAAAGAAATCGGCTACTTTAGTCCTGATGACCACATTCGGAAAATCAGGAATATTGTTTTATGTCCAGTAAAGGGGAGGGGAGCAGAGAAATAATACTAATTGGGCTAATCACTGCATTACATGGTTTTCCACATAATCTAACCCAATTCTTACCGCAATCCTATGAAACGAGACACGCAAAGATGCATATATTTTACTCCAGACCAGTTCATAAAAGTCAGCCAAGATTCAAAGAGAAATATTTCTATATCCAAGTCATTGCTCTACTTATAAGACTTATTTCCAAGCTCATCAATTTTTTCATAATACAATGATCACTTATGACATAAGCCTCCTTGTATATAACCGTCTATGTATCCCAGGTGCTAACACATCCCCCCACCCCCACACCTGGAGAAGGCTCTGTTGGGTTTGAATGCTTGTCAGCGGCTCCCTCCCTGAAGTTTGCAGCGAGGCGCACAGTCTGTTATAAGCACGTGCCAACATCTTCACTCAACTCCTTGTGTGTGGAGCAGCCCTCTCATCTCCACCAAGCCCAAGCCTTCCCTGGGCTAGTGATGCCAGTTTCCAGAAAACACTCCAAGCTCCGGAGCACTGAGTTTGCAGGCAGGGCCACCACACTCAGAACCTGAACCCTGGCGTGGCTCCCACAAGGGCAGGGCCATTTGTGACACCTCAAGGAGAGCTGGGACTGGCCCAGGACTTGGCTGAAGGAGAAATTCAACCAAGGAGGCACATCCAGACCTTACTAATAAAACACAGATGGGGCGGTATAGGAAACACAATGACGGGCAAGAAAGAAGCTTATGATGCACTTTATTCTATTTCAAAATTATTTCAAGCATTCTCGTTTCTTTGCCTTTCCAGATAAATTTTCAAGTAAGTTTGTGTGTATCTACCAAAACAATCTTCCTGGTATTTTGATCGGAATCGTATTAAACTTATAGATCAATACTGGGAACATTGACATCTTTACTATGTTGAGTCTTCCAGTCCATAAACATGGTACCTCTTGCAATTTAGTTAAATATTCCTTGGCTTCTATCACCAGTGTTTTGTAAATTTAAGTATCTGGATGTTGCATGTGTTCTGTTAGATTTATACCTGGGTATTTTGTCTTCTTTTTGAGCACTCGTGAACAACACGGTGCTTTTCGTTTCATTTTCTACATGCTCATTGCTAGCATTGCTAGTTTACAAGTAAGATAGTGCGTGTGTAGGTGTGTATATGTGTGTGTTTATGTGTATGTGTTTATGTATGTATGTATATGTGTTAGTGTATGTGTGTATGTGTGAGTGTATGTATGTGTGTATGTGTGTGCATGCATGTGTGTGTCTCTGCATGTGTCAGTGCCCATGTGTATGCATGTGTCTCTGTGTGCATGTGTGTAAGTGTATGTGTGTATGTGTGTGTGTATGTATGCATGTATATGTGTGTATGTGCGTGTGTATCGATCTTTATTCCTGTGACTTGTTAAATTAATTTACCAGTTCTAGCAGTTTGGTAAAATTTTTTTGATAGATTCCTTAGGATTTTCTACACAATCATGTTGCCTGTACAAAGGCACAGTTTTATTTTTTCCTTCCTAATCTGTGTGCTTTAGTGGTGTCCTGGAACCCTTGGAGCCCCTGGAAGGTCTTAAACACTCTGATGATCCTGTGGAGCATGTAGCATCGTGGACCCACTGTTTTCCGGCATTTCTGCTTTTATTTTTTTTTTTTAATTTTTTTTCAACGTTTTTTATTTATTTTTGGGACAGAGAGAGACAGAGCATGAACGGGGGAGGGGCAGAGAGAGAGGGAGACACAGAATCGGAAACAGGCTCCAGGCTCCGAGCCATCAGCCCAGAGCCCGACGCGGGGCTCGAACTCACGGACCGCGAGATCGTGACCTGGCTGAAGTCGGACGCTTAACCGACTGCGCCACGCAGGCGCCCCCCGGCATTTCTGCTTTTAAAAGAGAAGCCAGGAGTGAAATGGCTCATGTGTACATATAGGCAACAATCTCCACTTAAATAAATATTGTGATCCAAGCAAAACCTATTTGTAAGTTCATGCAAGTCTCAGATGCGGTCTGTGACCAGTGAGTAAAGCAGAGAAAGTGCAGAGCATTGTTGTGTCTGCCTAGTACTTACACTGGGGCCACATGGTGCCCCCAGCAGGCTTGGGAACTGACCTGTCCAGTGCACAGATGGACTCACAGGATTGCTGTGTGGACCTCCTTGGGGCAGGTCCAAGTCTGCTCCCTGGCATTATGACTGGGGGTCTGGAGCCTCAGCCCTTCTGGGCTCCTCATTCTTTAGTGTGATGTGAAGGCACTATGTTAAGAGTCTTCCAAAAGCAATTGGGACTCCTGGGGGGCTCAGTTGGTTAAGCATCCGACTTTGGCTCAGGTCATGATCTCATGGTTTGTGAGTTCGAGCCCCGTGTCAGGCTCTGTGCTGACAGCTTAGAGCCTGGAGCCTGCTTCAGATTCTGTGTCTCCCTCTCTCTCTCTGCTCCTCCCCTCCCCTGCTCATGGTGTCTCTCTGTCCCTCAAAAATAATAAATAAACATTAAAAAAAAAGATTCTTCCAGGTGGCAGCTCTAAACGGGGACTGTAAATTTCTTGACACTCCTGTTATTGAGAGTTGGGGGTGTGTCCCCTCCCCTTGAGTCTGGGTGGGCTGGGGTTGTGAGGTCAGTAGCCTAGAGCAGATTCCCAACTTTTCCCTATAAGTGTCTTCCTAAGGAGACTGTTTAGACATTCTTTTACTAGAATCCCCACCATGGGTATGAAATTTTAATACCAAAGATATATGCCTATATATGCCTATGTTCTATATATCGATCAATCGATCCATCTGTCAATTGATCATCTATGTTTTGTATATTAAAGAGTAGCATTTTTTCCCTTCCAAGAACCAATACTTGTCACAATGCATGGATAGAGTATGGTGACCCTGTGTGACTTCTGAGGCCAGGCCCAAAGGAACCCTGTAACTCTGTCCTCCGTCTCTTGAAACACTTGCTCTGGAGACTCTCCTTCTCAGAACCCAGCTCCACACGGAGAGGCCTCCTGTAGGATCTCAGGTCAAATATCGAGATTGAACTCAGTCTTGGTGCATGTTCCAGACACGCAGAAAAGAAGCTTCCAGATGACAGCAGCACCCAGCCGTTTAGATCCCTCCCCCACCACCGCCATCATGTCTTCCCAGCTGAGGCCCAGACTTTTTAGAGCAGAGACAGGCCATCCCTGCTGCACTCCGTCAGAATTCTTGACCACAGAATCTATGACATGACAGAAATATCGCTGTTTTGTGCCCCACGGGAGATCTAAGCAGAGAGAACTTAATGTCCCAGCCCCAGGCAGGATGGTTCAAGGAACATGCTGCCTCTGCCGGATGCACAGAGGGCTGGGGGGAGGCCCCTGGGAGACTCAGCCCTGCGGCGGAAACCTGGGGCCGGACTCCTCATGCGGTAACGTGCACGGGCTGCTGGGCCTGGAGGTCTTGCCCTTTTCAGAGGCGCGAACCAGAACCATGTGGGCTGGAGCTGTCAGCACTGGTGGGAGGTGTTCCCCACAAGAAGCCACCCGCCTCTGCAGAACGCCCGCTGCCCACCCACACCCTCTCTGCAGTGCCCCGACCACATTCAAAGGAAGCTTCTACTCGAAAATGAACCAGCACCTTTCCTAACTGATGGACTCAAGGAGAGGAACACAGTGCCAGCAAAATGCAGCTGGAGAACTTGCTTTGTGAGCGCCAGGGCCCCAGGACACAGAGGAAGAGTCCAGCTGGCCAGTTCAGCTCAGTCTCGGAGAAATTATGGACAACATGACCTCTCTAAAGAAGGAGCTCAGAAAAGAGATAGAGGTCCCCAAAATCGTTCAAAATAAAATATCTGAGCACTAGGTATTGTATGGAAACCAATTTGACAATAAATTTCATATTAAAAAAATAAAAAGTTAATAAAAAACCGACCTTGCATTTGTGGGATTAAAAATAAAATAAAATAAAATAAAACAAAATAAAATAAAATAAGGACACAAAAAAAGAGCAGACAGAGCCCAGGAAGAATGTAAGTGGAAGAGAAAAAAAAAAAACCAAACCCAAAACCCAAATCATTATTGAGAGGAAACATGTGTAACTTTGAAAATTAAAAAAGAAAAAGGCTTGTGTTATTAGTTTTTGATGACTGAGTAGAGGAAGTTAAAAAGGAAGGGCTGGGCATCCTGGGCTGTGTTGCTCAGCTGGGCGTGGGGGTGAGAGTGTTCATGGGGGCGGGACATAAAGGCCAAAGGTCAGGCCAAATCCAGGAGTGGGTGATGGTGGGTCTGAGCTGTCTGGGGGATGGACAGTGTCACGGGTGAGGAGGGGACAGATCCGTTCCATCTCGATGGAAGAGTCCAAATGGTCCCTGGAACCCCTGCACCTAAGGACCAGTGAGGCCAAGAGACAACTGGAGGGACAGAAATGAACTGTTCTGGTGATGACCGCATGAGTCCCCTGTGCTTAGAGGCCACCGATGTAGATGCAGGGACAGGCGGATATTTACATGGTTACAAAGCCCTGCCACAAAACACTTACTATTTACAAAGGGGGAAAGAGTAACTTCAACCACTATGGACAAATTTACACACACAACTGCCCGTTTCCCGGACACATTCGGATTCTAGCGTTGGATTTAGAGTCATTTCCCGCCCTCTAGAATGGAAGGGTCGTCCTCTCACATATAAAACATTGAAATGGTGTCCCCCCAAATAATCTCAAAAGAGCAAAGAAAGCCACAGATTTCATAGGAAATGTAAAGGGCAAACAGGTCAGATGTGGGTCAGGCGATGGTCCAACCCTGCTTTCCATCTTTTACATTCAAGGAATTCTTTCTTGGAGGCGCTGATGCAGCAGAAGGTGGAATTGGCGGAACTCTGTGCAGCTGGCCCATCAGGGGGTCTTTGTCCCTGTGGACACACTCTGGAACTTTTTGGTTTAACCCAGGTTTTATGCTTACTGGAATTGGAAACCCATTGTTGGCCAGAGTCCTGAATGATGAAAGGGTCATTTATCCTTGGCAGAGCAACTCGAGGGTGGCAAGGAAAGGAGCTACCAGGAGGATCCACACAGGAGAGATTACAGGTGCGGCTGAGGACCGATGGTGGAATGAGAGTACACCCTTTCTTTTCTCTGCTTCCACAGTGGAGGCAATGGTCCCCGATCTGTGCAGAGCAGAGAGGGAGCCAGAGTTTATTCCTGACGGCAGGACGCGGGGAGTCCTCACCTAACAGGGACCCCCATCTGTCTCGGAAATGTAATCATTGCCCTTTCCCTGACCAGAGCTCAGAGGGTGCGGGGGTGTCCATGGTGGGGGAGAGGGCTGTGTTTCTCCTGCTCAGACTGACGTATCTTCCCCTGGAGTCCCCCGGACTCCCCACGTCACAGTCACAGCAGGACCCAAGCAGGGGCAACTTCACAAAGGTCAAAAGCACAAAGTGAAGGTTGTGTAGCAGGGCCCTGAGTAGGGATCGTGCTGACAGGAGTGGGGTCCCTCTTCAGGGGCCGCTCCAGGCCCTTCCTGTCCACCCTCACTCCCGCCCCCAGACCTGGAGGACAGGCCAGCCCCGGTCCCTGCCCAAAAGCCCCTCTGAGGGCACGGCCATGCTGTCCAAGGCGAAGCATTCAGGGGCCTCCCAGCAGCCTTAGCCTGGGCTCCAGCACCTCTGCACCCTGATTTCATCCTGCTTGTCGGCCACCTCCCCCAAATCCCCTCCGCCTCACCAGCAGGCCAGCCAGGACCAAAGATTTGCCTTTGCCTATTTGAATCTACGTCTGTCCCACCTTGTATAAATTCTGCCTGTACTTCCAGCTCAGACCTCATATCACCTCTTTGAAGCAGAGGAAGATACCTCTTCCTGGGAATCTGGCAATTTACGTTCTAGCTTCCCCTGGGAGGGGTCTCTCCTGGCTCTGAACCCCATCTGGTACCACATAGCAGGTGCACTATCGCATATACCCTGGACAGTGGACACGTGGTCTAGTGGACCATTGGGCCCTTGCTCATATATGTCCCCCTAGGAGTCCCCATCAGTATCCAGAATCTGACCCCCTCAACCTCTGCCTCATCCCCTCCCCTACAAGCAGTGCCAGGACCCCCTGCAGTCTGGCCTTTTTCTCTCCTTCTACCTGCCTTGAGCAAGATTTGTCATGTTCATTTCACAGGGGGTTCTCTTGAGAGAGAAGACACGATGCTTTGTACTTCCTAGATTATCCTTGAACCCACTGCGTTCTTTTCCCAAGCCCCACTTCCTGTGGAGCTGCCTCCCCATCTCTCCACTTGCAGGCTTCCTCCTGGGCCCCTCAGTCCCCTAAAAGTTCCGCATCCTCCCCTCCTGACTCCACAGAACAACTGGTCCTTAAATAGTCACGAGCAGGACAGAGGCCGATCGTGAAGCATGAACCAGGTGCCTGGCTGCACACATGACCGAACACACTGTCCAGCAGGGCAGCTCCAAGGAGTAGGATCCTTGAGAAGGGAAGGAAGAGAGACTGTACCAGAAGGGAGGCGGTGAAGGGGGCTTCTGGGAGGAAACGCACCTTCACCCTGAACTCGGATGGGGTGAAACTGGGGCAGGGTGTTTGCCCTTTGAAGAAAGAGTTAATTGATTGTTCTTTGGATGCCTGTGGAGGGGGTGGGTTTCAGATGGATGGCCCAGCATGTCGATCGACCATGTTGGGAATGTGAGAAAGCAGAAATGTCAGCTTCCCATTCCTTCCCAGCATTTCCCTAGCAGTTGGGGAAGGGAGGGCTGGATCCATGGAACAGGTACCTGCTTGACTGTCTGTGGGCAGAATAATGCCCCCCCCAAAGATGTCCTAATCCCCAGACCTGTGAATGTGTTATGTTACATGGCATGGGGGAATTAATGATACAGATGGATTTAAGTTTGCCAGCAGCTGACCTTGAGATGGGGAGGTGATCCTGGGATATCTGGGTGGATCCTATAGAATCGCCAGTGTCTTTATAAATGAAAGCACACAGGAGAGCCAGTGTCAGAGTAATGAGGGTGAGAAAGACTTGACCACCCCTGCTGGCTGTGCAGATGGAGGGACATGAGCCAGGGGTGCAGCGGCCTCCAGAAGCTGGAAAAGACAAGGAAGCCCTTCTCCCTCAGAGCCTCCAGGAGGAGCCAGCCCTGCCAGCACCTGGAGTTTAGCCCAGTGAACCTCATCCCAGACCTTGTCTCCAGAACTTTAAGATCATAACATCGTTTTGCCTTCAGCCACCAGGGTGGTGGTGATTTGCTCCAGCAGCCACAGGGAGCTAATCCAGAGCCCTTCCCCTCTGGCAACTTGAGGCTGAAAGCACCTGTGCCTGTTTTGGCTGCTTGGGGTTGGGAGGCAGGTCAGAAGGAGACCAGAAGCTTCTCTCCTGCAGCCCAGCTGAACAACTTTGCCTAGGTTTCTTGTGGGGAGGGGGAGCTCTTCAAGGACTCAGAGGAACAAAGAGGGGGCCCAGCGCAGACCTGTTTCTCCCCAGCAGAGGAAACATCAGGGGGGCCAATGGGGGTCCCTGTGAGAGTGTCCCGAGGAGAGCTGTCCCAAGGCAACAGTGGGAAAGAAAGGTCTGTGGGTCCAGCTCTGCTCACCTGGTTAGCGGGCTATTCAAATCCATGGGCTGGCTGCTGCTGATGCCCTGAGGAAATGGACGAGAGGAAGTCCAACTCGGCAGCGTTGTTCTCGCTACAGGCTTGGGAGAGTCTGTTGGATCAGGGGCTAAACACACAGAGCAGAGCGTGGTTGTGAGTGTCACAGGTGGCTCCCATGGTCTCCACACCCCACCCCCAGGGGTGCAGAACCTTTCTGTCTTAGTGCCACTGCTCAGCCACGTTGGTTTTCTCTTGCATCTTTTTGGCATTATTCCAAACAAACGATTACTGATTTGCAGAGAATCACCAGTTTACCACCATGTGAGATATTGGGGTTGCTGCTTATGTGGGCAATTCCCATTCAGTTTCATCTCAGTGTCCTGCTGGGCACAGCTGAGCATGTCAGAACCATGTTCCCAGTCCCTGGAGCCTTAAATCAGCCAGGCAGGCTCCTTTCTGAGTCTCAGCCTGGCCTGAAGCAGGCTCTGTGCCAGCTGCCCTGAAGCGATGTGACCCACGAGCTGGCAGGCCCAGGGTCCCCTGTCTCCTGGGACTGCTGAGTGCCCAGAGCCCCTGCTTCCCCCTGCGGTCCTTCCTGCCTCCCCAGGGCTTGCTTTCTTACTTCTCCAGGCCTGCCTGGGGAAGGTCGTCTGGGTCAAGGGTCCAGACTCCAATTCTCTGGCACCAACTCCTCCTCCACTCTTGCACACATCCACCACCTTTGTGGTGTTAATTTCTTTTCAGTTAATTTCTAGAACATTCTAAGACCAGCATCCGTCCCCACTGCACATATTTGCACACCATATTTGCATATTCTAAGTTTGAAGAGACTTTTCTCTGCTTTAGAAATGGAGCAATCGGTAGCAAATGTAAACCTCCCTAGTGTCTGTGTGTCTGTGTGTTGGAGATAAGACTTAGGGGTCCAGAGGCAGAGCTGTGGGGCGGGGGCTACAGCCTGACTCTCTTTCCAGGCTTGTCTCCAGGGAGGGCCTAGTGCTTCTGGGGCAGCTGCAGGGGAGCCCAGGGTCTCTCCAAGGATAGAGGCAGAAGAGAAGGTGTCTGCACCATAGTGGAACCTGCTTTTCATTCTCCTAAATATGGGCTCACGGTTCCTCACCTGCTCCCTTGTGCTGATGTTGCCAGAGGAGAGAGAGGAGCAGGGAAAGGGCATGGAGAAGGTCACTTGTTCTGTAGCTGAGACCATCAGGATCATGGCTTTCTAGCACCCCATCCCTCCCTGTATGCCTGACATCACCCCATGCAGGCTGGGATGTGCTGACGTGAACGTGACCGGGAAAAGAGGAGCTGCCTTCCCTGGACAAGCCTGTCCTGGCTGAGTCTGTCCTTCTCTGCTCCCTCTGGGGAGACCAGATGGAGACATGCGGAGTTGTGGGGGCTCGCACTTTCTTCCAGTCTTTCCCAGAATCTTGGTGTCCCCTACCCACACAAACACGTGCACACGTGTAGTCTCAGGCAAGTTTCGAGACTCCTCTCCCTCCATCGGGGAAGGCAGAGAAACAGTCCTGACTCCTCTGGGGGTGGGTCCCAGGACCCCAGAGCACAGGATGGGTGGTTCTTACCTGGATTGACAATCACGGAAAATTCGATCCCCACGTCAGTGCCAAATTGCTCGATCCCACACCAGTAAGTGTCTGCGTCGTCCTGCTGGAGATCCTCCAAGGTCATGGTGAATGTGCGTCGGCTGTGATTGTCCTGGATGGACGCTCGGCCCTTCTTCACTAGTTGCTCTGACCCAGTGGTTTTCACAAGGATGTTGCAGGAATCCCAGTCATTCCCGCGACACCACCACTTCTTGTAGGATTCCCATCCCGGACCGTATGCACAGCGCACAGTCAGTGTGCCCCCCAATGTGCCTCTCACCTTTTTTCCCTCACAGGTGCAGAAGTGGCCTAGAAAACAGAAACCCAACATGCATCTTATCCTTCCTTGAGCCCAGAGCTGACCCGGGCGCCGCTGGGGCTTCTGGCCCTGCCCTGAAGACCAGCCAGGAGCCTCTGCCCTCTGTCTAATTGGCACATCCCTCCTGTCCCTTCATCCCCTGCAGGATTTCTTTTCTGTCACCCCTCTTGTGAATCCCCCTTGAGGCTCCTAACTCTCCTAACCAATACAGGGCTGTCTGCACACTCACCATCCTACTGACCACTGTCCCCTGCCCGACCTCAAGCAGCACCTCTCCCAGCAGCACAGAGCTGCAGCCACAGGTGTATTTCTGAATCCCAGAGCTGGTGAGACAGCGTGACCCCCTCCCCATCTATGTCCCTGATACTCTACCTGCGCCCCCCAACAAACCCTCAGCCTCTGAATCACACGGAACTGGCATGGAACTAAATACACTCTCTCTCTCTCTCTCTCTCTCTCTCTCTCTCACAGGTGATTG